ATCCGAGATCAAGAACGCACTACGTGGTTGAGCAAAAATGTGTCTCACTACAACAAACAAGAAGCACGGAAAAGTTACCAACCATGATCCTCGTCGGGCAGTGCCGCGGAAAGTGTYGTTGGATAAAGAGTGAGTCCACCACATGGCTTGGTTTCGTTGATGCTGGGTGSTGMTAKGACAATTGCGAGCATCCTCTTACCAAACTTATGCTTTGTATCGCGTTTTCAATCTTCAGACACCATGRCAATGCTGTCGACTGGTCTGATGAAGGAGCCCCGTTCGTGTCGCAGAMATTTTATCCCTGGCAACTCTTTTGGTTTCCCTTCCTTGCCATTGTCACAATTCTATCRATACAAGGTCTGGAGGATAAGAGGRTGGGAACCAGCATTTTCTGGATCCTTTACGAAAGCTACRTAATATTTGATCACATACCTTTTCTCTTCACAAATTCTGTGTACAAGTCTCCACGATTCAACTTTACATACTTGTCAACCATTTTCTTTTGGGGTTTTGAAGCGATTGCGAGCATTGTTTCCACTCAGTCYGTCGTTGGAGCCCCTCATGTTCTGCTGCACAATGTAGGAGCGCACTGCTTCTTTATTGCATGCAACAACTTTAGCGGACTTGCGGCATCAAAATCCTTTTCAACCGAAAATAAAAAGACCTGGTGGGTCTACCTGCAAGTGACTATGGACAATATTATCCACTCCGTCAGCCTATGGTTCCACCTGAAACATTTCTTTCGGGTCGTTCTCGAGAAGGCAGATACAAGTGTATGGGAGGTTTGGGCCTATTTGGTTGGTTCGATGCTCATCCTGACATATTGGGTGCACAAAAATGAGATGAGCATCGAATATTTTTTGGCGCCATTCATTCCAACAAGCAGTCCAAAGAACAAGACCAAGTAGTTCTAGTAGTCTTTTTCAACTGGGATGGAGATCCGGTTCTACTGGAGTCAAGTTGCAAAACTGGTGAACTTCTGTAAGATAAAGTATAGTAGCAGTCAATGTTGTTGAAGCAACAAGCAAGGTCAGAATGGACTAGTAATTACTTCTTGATAGTAGTAGTAGTCCCATAAAGTAGTAAGCAGCTCCAAATCTCATTCGTCATCACAGGGACGATCATCATTGACTATTTTACCACGCCGGGCACACTACCAGGCAATAGTCAGGCAATAAGAATGGTAACTTGCTGGCGACTGAAACTTTGGGGAGGGGGATAAGAGAATCTAATTATTATAGAAAATATTTATGGTAAAATGGTAGCTACCAGATTCCGACTAGAATTGCTACCAGATTGCTACCATAATTGCTACCAGATGGTAGCAATTTTAGTCGCAAGATGGTAGCAATTCTGGTAACAATTCTGGTAGCAATAGTTTCTTGGAGGTTCCCGGGACTGCAAATTGGTTTTATGGACGTCTGTAGTACAAAAGCTGTGTAGAAAGCGCTGTAGAAAACAGCAAATCAAGGGGGTACACTGTCCATTTAGCAGTCCGGGAGCATAAATTCCTCTATTCATGCTCAATTTTTATGTGAGTTAAGTGTTTACCATGACCGTTACCAGAATCTGGTAGAAATTATGGTAGCAATCCAGTCTACCAGATGGTAGCTAATATTGCTACCAGATGGTAGCTATAATTGCTACCAGATTGCGACCAGAAATGCTACCAGGTTGCTACCACAAACGCTACCATAATATATGCCGCGCTACCAGAATTTTTTTTAAAACTCTCCCAGCCCCCTCTTAAGTATAATTGTGTTCACCAGCGCCTTCTGGTTCCATTCTAGTAGCGGGTCTAGTAGCAAAGATACGTGGTAAAATCTTCAATGATGATCGTCCCAGTGAAGCTTTCTGTGGTATGAGCCTAAACCACAATGACGACTAGTTCGTGAGCAAGAAACTCACAATTGTGAACAACTTCTTCTTCTTGTGACCATCGAGTCACGATTCTTTCAGTCAAGACTGACACAACCGTCGTGTCTAGCGCRGAAAATTTACGAGCCCGCTCGCTCGCTCGCATAAAAATTGATGGGATTGGATCGGATGCCGATCCGTTGGAGGCAACTCAGACTAAATTAAAATACTACGACTAAAAGTTTGACTGCAACGAACAAAAAAAGATGAAGCGGTAGGGTTGATCCGGAACCGGAAAACGAAGCAGAAACCTTGTACAACTCGCGTCGTTTGACTAGATTGTACATTCAACCCAAAACGCTTCTCGTTCGGTTCACCAGCCTTGCATCGCACTTGTGTGTCGAACCTGCGAATACAAATCGGAGAGAAGAAGACGACAGCAGCATCATGCAGTTTCATGGCTTCTGGTACGTTTCGATTGGTTGATGGGCTCGGGGTGCCGTGTCTCTCGGTTGGGTGGTTCTGTCCCTGACTCGATTTGTTTCTKCTCGTATTGTTTTGCGCTCGCGTTGCACCCTCTAGTTCGTATCCACACGGTGGCTGGGCCATCGCCGGCCTCATTGTTTCGTCCATCTGCGCCCTGGCCGCCACCATGTGGGGGATGGCCTCGTGCCGGATGGTATANATCCGAGATCAAGAACGCACTACGTGGTTGAGCAAAAATGTGTCTCACTACAACAAACAAGAAGCACGGAAAAGTTACCAACCATGATCCTCGTCGGGCAGTGCCGCGGAAAGTGTYGTTGGATAAAGAGTGAGTCCACCACATGGCTTGGTTTCGTTGATGCTGGGTGSTGMTAKGACAATTGCGAGCATCCTCTTACCAAACTTATGCTTTGTATCGCGTTTTCAATCTTCAGACACCATGRCAATGCTGTCGACTGGTCTGATGAAGGAGCCCCGTTCGTGTCGCAGAMATTTTATCCCTGGCAACTCTTTTGGTTTCCCTTCCTTGCCATTGTCACAATTCTATCRATACAAGGTCTGGAGGATAAGAGGRTGGGAACCAGCATTTTCTGGATCCTTTACGAAAGCTACRTAATATTTGATCACATACCTTTTCTCTTCACAAATTCTGTGTACAAGTCTCCACGATTCAACTTTACATACTTGTCAACCATTTTCTTTTGGGGTTTTGAAGCGATTGCGAGCATTGTTTCCACTCAGTCYGTCGTTGGAGCCCCTCATGTTCTGCTGCACAATGTAGGAGCGCACTGCTTCTTTATTGCATGCAACAACTTTAGCGGACTTGCGGCATCAAAATCCTTTTCAACCGAAAATAAAAAGACCTGGTGGGTCTACCTGCAAGTGACTATGGACAATATTATCCACTCCGTCAGCCTATGGTTCCACCTGAAACATTTCTTTCGGGTCGTTCTCGAGAAGGCAGATACAAGTGTATGGGAGGTTTGGGCCTATTTGGTTGGTTCGATGCTCATCCTGACATATTTGGTGCACAAAAATGAGATGAGCATCGAATATTTTTTGGCGCCATTCATTCCAACAAGCAGTCCAAAGAACAAGACCAAGTAGTTCTAGTAGTCTTTTTCAACTGGGATGGAGATCCGGTTCTACTGGAGTCAAGTTGCAAAACTGGTGAACTTCTGTAAGATAAAGTATAGTAGCAGTCAATGTTGTTGAAGCAACAAGCAAGGTCAGAATGGACTAGTAATTACTTCTTGATAGTAGTAGTNCAGTGAAGCTTTCTGTGGTATGAGCCTAAACCACAATGACGACTAGTTCGTGAGCAAGAAACTCACAATTGTGAACAACTTCTTCTTCTTGTGACCATCGAGTCACGATTCTTTCAGTCAAGACTGACACAACCGTCGTGTCTAGCGCRGAAAATTTACGAGCCCGCTCGCTCGCTCGCATAAAAATTGATGGGATTGGATCGGATGCCGATCCGTTGGAGGCAACTCAGACTAAATTAAAATACTACGACTAAAAGTTTGACTGCAACGAACAAAAAAAGATGAAGCGGTAGGGTTGATCCGGAACCGGAAAACGAAGCAGAAACCTTGTACAACTCGCGTCGTTTGACTAGATTGTACATTCAACCCAAAACGCTTCTCGTTCGGTTCACCAGCCTTGCATCGCACTTGTGTGTCGAACCTGCGAATACAAATCGGAGAGAAGAAGACGACAGCAGCATCATGCAGTTTCATGGCTTCTGGTACGTTTCGATTGGTTGATGGGCTCGGGGTGCCGTGTCTCTCGGTTGGGTGGTTCTGTCCCTGACTCGATTTGTTTCTKCTCGTATTGTTTTGCGCTCGCGTTGCACCCTCTAGTTCGTATCCACACGGTGGCTGGGCCATCGCCGGCCTCATTGTTTCGTCCATCTGCGCCCTGGCCGCCACCATGTGGGGGATGGCCTCGTGCCGGATGGTATAYATTGACTACACGACCGACCGCGGAGATTTTAGCGACTTYTTCAAGGACCCCACGGCCGATGGAGATCCGGTCCTGCAGCGGGTCGGTGCCGGACTCTTTACCTGGCTAGTTCCGTACGCCGACGACAAGAGCGGAAACCGGAACACGGACTGGACCTACGGGCAGTGCGCTGGCTTTTCCGAGAGCCAGAGGGCATTTTTCACCGACGACGTGTTCGAGGTGGCGCGCATTTTCGCCGTGCTGTCCGTCCTGGGYGGGATGGGATCGGTCCTGGCCGTCTTCTTTTTGTCGTGCATGTCGCTGAGGCGCTTCCAGATATGGATGCTGAGCACAATACTCGGGCTGATCCCTATTTTTGTCGGCCTGACCTTTATCGTGCTGCAATCGCAGCTGTGCAACGGGCTGACRACCTACCAGGACGASTCCTATGAAACGACCTGCACCGTMGACCAGGGCGGCCTGGTGATCGTTGCAGCGGCTATTTTCTGGACCGTGGCCTTTTTGATCAGCGTCGTGTACATTAAGGATCCGAAGTGGGACGTCGGCATCCGGGACGGAGAAATCACCAACGCCTTTGAGATGAGACAGGAGGAACGCTATCGCCGGGAAAAGGAACGAAAGGAAAAGGCACAGCGGAAGCGGGAAGAAAGGCAGCAACGACGTGTCAACCGCCGATTGAAGGGAGACGGCGACGTGAACGATTTGCACCTGGATCAGGACATTTCCGATCTGGACGACGACGGGGAGGTGTAGGCAGAAAGACGCGAGGCAAAAGAAATAACTTCTTKGGATAATTTGTGACAAAGACGACGCAAGAAAAAGCTAGATTTGCATYCGGGGTGCTTGTGTTGGCAACGGCGAGACCCATTGCGGTTTTGCGAAACAAATCCAATCTACAGAAGACGAATCGTATCGAATCAACAGAATCAACGCCAATCAAGACCGTTGTTCCCATTCTTAGCCTACTTTAACAGSAAGGGGTAGCATTCTCTCCCCACCGAATTGGATAGAGGGGGAAAGCACACAGCCCTTTTTGGGTTTGTTTCAGCGTTGCAGTGACGGAGCCATGTTTGTCTCGAAAAGACTAGTCCAAGTTTACGCAGAGGAATGAGCTATAGCACCTGATGAACCAATATTCAAAACTGTGCGAAATGATTTAACAATTGTGGTGACTGCATGAACCTCTGAACGTTAACGTTTATGCAGGGATTATGACTCTTCAAAAAATTACAACCACGATGTAACTGCTGTATTTCGATCGTAGAAGTAAAATACTGTAAATCACAAAAGAGTTAAGGAGAAATCTTGCATGTTTTTGACCTGAGTTCGACGGCCATAGAAAAATGCCTTGGACTTCGAGCAACGATCTCATGTCTCCTAGACGAATCGAAGAAAAGGTATCTGAAAAGCGAGAGTGCAAAACTGGCAGTCAGRGATCCCACTTAATGGTCTGAACGGGAAGAACCAGTTTCTTTCGTAACCACCCTCATCGAATCTATACAATAATATGTTGCGCTTTGAATTATTTTTGAGGTTCCAATCCTAGGATTAACGCGCAGATTTTTATTTTTTGTTAATTGTATACACTATAATTCATGCTTATTGAATATAAATAGTAATCCATTCAGACTGAGCTCGGGGTATCAACGTTTTCCGGTTGTTCTGTTKCGCGCTGTTCCGAAATCATAATGATATTCAATAATACTTCRCGTGGAAACTGCAAACAGYTTGTTTACTTTGCCTTCGCAAAACCAACCGTCTGGTCAAGGTAGTTGAAGACTGTGTAGTACTGTCGCATAAAGACATCGCCCAAAATCCATTTGGGGCCGGTAGGAATGTCCAAAGGCATGAATGCGAACAAACACGTGCTTTGTGCCTGAATCACGGTAGCTGGTCCAGGGATTGTGTATTCCTTTCCTCCAATGGTCCAGACAACGTCTGGCAAATCGGGAACCTTGGCGCAATCRATGGTGTATTCTCCCATGAAATTTGCAGTTGCGCCCATAGATTGCGCCAACTTGGCCACCTCAGCCTTTGGCCCGGTGATCAACGAGGTTCCAGAATCGACAATCGCGGTAGTRCTTTCATCAGTCTTGTAGTCTCCYGCTGCAATAGCATCAAGCGTAATTTCCCAGTAAGTTGCGGATTCCAACTTCACGTACTCGAGRTCACCTTCGAACTTTGATGAATCRTATCCACCAAAGGTCAATTCGCCGTCTCTGTTGTCTCCCAAGTAAAATGCAAAAATGGGTTGATCGACCTTGTTTTGCTTGATGGCTTCCTCGAAAACGGTCGGGACACCTCCAACACTAATGGACGTGAAACCTAATCCAAGGATACCATCGAATTTCCCAACACTGTAAGCCATACCGAGACCACCCGCGTCGGTAATTTCGGCAAATTCCAMCTCGTCAATGGTTATATCTTGCGCAAGGGTGACCTGGTCTTTCGAAAARAAACCCTTCACACTTCCRCTTCCATACATGATCTCGAAGTCTTCTCCATCCGCTTCGTATGTTGAACTCTTGGAATCGTCATACTTGCTCTTGTGCGAGATAAAGGGAAGTCCGCAGTGAGTGCATCCAACCTTTGGCACCCACAGGTTGGAAGATCCCGTGTCGAAAATCACCTCAAAGGATTGGGGCGGGGTACCGATTTCAACMACCCCAAAGTATTGGGCATTGGCATAGTCCTTAATGACTACCGATTCACTATCTTTCAGAGCGACAGATCCTTCACCAGCTCGAAGGTTGCGACTGTTGGTGGTAGCGTCGGTTTTGCCCAGGTGCAAGGCTTCGTAGAGCCCATCACGCTCTCGCTTCAAGTGGGCAGCAACCATATCCTCATTGGAGCGTTTGTGTAGAGCGATGCGAGTTACTTTCGCCGTGACTACCGAGGAGGCCATCAACGACGATAGGATACCGACACAACCTAGACGTGAAAAGGCGCGCCGAGATGACAATTTCGCCATTATCGGGTATTAGATGGACACAACAATCATCAGATCGRGATCRCCGTTGGGTCAAACCAGAGTAAAAMGAAAGGTGAGAGATGGGATGATGAACCCTTTCATTCGAAATGCTGCTTTGTCTGACCAAGGACAGTCGCACAGTTGCTTCTATCATCGGCTGACATCAAAATTTAAGTCTCAACGCATGCTGTGATGTTGTCACGTTTTCGGCAACGAAAACAGGAAATAGATTCCACACGATAKCTCTACTTACCGAGAAACTTCATGATTGGGTTTGCTGTTCTGAAAAGGTATGGCTGTTAGATATTGCAGTTGATCAATGAATACTTCCGCAACTGGAAAATGTGTGAAGTACGTRATGGAAAAAGATTTCTTCTTTTGACGACAAAAAAGAATAAAAATCACGAGTCACGTAAGTTTTGCGGAGGAAGTGTCTTCGATCGTTGAGTGAGGGACGAGTGAACTTACACGACACCAATTTTTTGTTGATTGTTCATTTTTTTCTTTTGTTCGCTCCTTCACTTCGAAAACGTTCTTCGACGGTCTGTCAAGCGAAAATCTTCATTCAATCGTGCATTTATCTCGAACTCTAACATGNACCCCAAAGTATTGGGCATTGGCATAGTCCTTAATGACTACCGATTCACTATCTTTCAGAGCGACAGATCCTTCACCAGCTCGAAGGTTGCGACTGTTGGTGGTAGCGTCGGTTTTGCCCAGGTGCAAGGCTTCGTAGAGCCCATCACGCTCTCGCTTCAAGTGGGCAGCAACCATATCCTCATTGGAGCGTTTGTGTAGAGCGATGCGAGTTACTTTCGCCGTGACTACCGAGGAGGCCATCAACGACGATAGGATACCGACACAACCTAGACGTGAAAAGGCGCGCCGAGATGACAATTTCGCCATTATCGGGTATTAGATGGACACAACAATCATCAGATCGAGATCGCCGTTGGGTCAAACCAGAGTAAAACGAAAGGTGAGAGATGGGATGATGAACCCTTTCATTCGAAATGCTGCTTTGTCTGACCAAGGACAGTCGCACAGTTGCTTCTATCATCGGCTGACATCAAAATTTAAGTCTCAACGCATGCTGTGATGTTGTCACGTTTTCGGCAACGAAAACAGGAAATAGATTCCACACGATAKCTCTACTTACCGAGAAACTTCATGATTGGGTTTGCTGTTCTGAAAAGGTATGGCTGTTAGATATTGCAGTTGATCAATGAATACTTCCGCAACTGGAAAATGTGTGAAGTACGTRATGGAAAAAGATTTCTTCTTTTGACGACAAAAAAGAATAAAAATCACGAGTCACGTAAGTTTTGCGGAGGAAGTGTCTTCGATCGTTGAGTGAGGGACGAGTGAACTTACACGACACCAATTTTTTGTTGATTGTTCATTTTTTTCTTTTGTTCGCTCCTTCACTTCGAAAACGTTCTTCGACGGTCTGTCAAGCGAAAATCTTCATTCAATCGTGCATTTATCTCGAACTCTAACATGGCTACAAAAAATTAGGATTAGGGTTATATTATTTTTGTTTGATGGAGACTGGGCTCCTATTCTGTCACCACAGCTGGTTCTTTTAGCTGTGATACAGTGTAAATGTTGCTTACTTCTAAATTTATGTTGATTCGACGTGCGATTCGATGTATGCCTACGTCATTTAGCACGGGAAACCTGAAAGAGAAAAGTGTGTGTAAATTCTTCCCTATTGGTTAGATAAATTAAGAAGTATGAGAAGGTACCAGGAAAACCCTTGGGTCTCCGATGTATCTCTCAGTACTTTTGATCTGGGTTTTTTACCCTATGACATGTATTGATAAATTCATTAATTCTTTTGTATCGGTGGACGTGCGCGCGAACGTCTGTCCCTCAACAGAGACCGTCAGGGTTGAACAAAAGCAAAGCTGATTAAGATTTTTCCCGCTCCTTTTTCGCGCGAGCCAGATGAACCAAAATGGTTCAAATCATATTTTCTACAGTACGAACTAGTCTACTACCGTACGTACCGTTTGGAGTTACAGATCGTTGGCTCACAGATTGGACGAATGAATCGTACAGAAAACAGTGCTGTGCTGTTGCATGCACGAACGAATCGTATCTACGGTACAGGAATCAGTATCAGATTTTTTTTTTTATGCAATAGTACAATTTATTTACAGAAGTTGAGCAATTTTTGTGGAGTCCAACGTTGGTGTAGCACGTTTTCTTTTTCCGTTSTCATACCCACCAGTCACAGAAAATCGCTTTGGTTCTTAAATAATGTTTACCGCACTTGCAGGCCGTGCCTGTCCCACATGAAAAACATCGAAATAGTTTGTATGCATTTGTACGTACGAGTAGACGGTACACTATATTTGACAATCTTTCTTTCTGATCTCGGTCGTGCCAAATATTGATCATCTATCATCTGCCACCGAAGTGTAGGTCGCATTGACACTGAGAAATGGTTGCAGCCATACACAACACAATTTCCATTGATATTAGACATACTAACAGAACTGAATCGAATCAGCGCAGCATTTCTGCACCATGACTTCCCCCTTTCGATTTAGTGTTTTGCGGGCACTGTTCTTTTCTTATTCTTGCATCATTCATCGTGCTATTTCCTGCGATGTGCATTACCAACAGGCTCGTCAAGAACGAAGAGCCCTGGATGGGTCGTTGTGGTCAGATAAAGATTCAACGGAGGGACCGATCAACCCACACCTTTTGTTTCATGGGAAACTAAAAAACGATCTCGGGCAACCCGTAGAGGGTGCCCAGGTACAATTTTGGCACGCGGATTACAACGGGAACTACCTCCACCCGGGAGATGATTTGGATGGGAACGAATACCTGAGAGACTCTTTTTCGTATTTTGGCACGGCGTCCACCGATAATGYGGGGAGCTTTGAATTCAAAACGTACCGGCCCGGAATATATCTGTCGCGCCCGGTAACGCACATTCACTTCAAGGTGTTCKACGAGGGGCGAGAACTATTGACGTCCCAATTCTACTTTTCAGACGAGGACGTGCAAATGTTTTACGACGAAATGCTGATACTCACAATGGAACAAACCATCGACGACGACGGGAACGCCGTCAACCACGTCTCGAAGGACGTGGTCGTCAACATGAACATGGGAGGCTTCGAAAAACTCACCCCGTGGCAAATGGAAGGTCCCTTTTATCCCCTCGTCGACTTTTTCGATGTCTCGAGCGACATGACGCTAGGACTGATGGAGACCTATTACGATCACATCGCGGTGGACGCTTCTTCCAAGAACCCTACAAGCTTGGCCCAACGTAAGTGGAACATCCCGTTCGTCCCGTCGTTGGTGATCGCAATATTTCTTGCTCGAGAGATGTTGTAGTCTCACCGTCCTCGAAGTTTCCACCAATAAGCCGACACTCGTACCGTCACCGAGACCCACACGGAGACCAACGSCAAAGCCTTCTTCGGGACCTTCTCCGAGACCCGTGCCTGATATGGGGTTTGGGGGCCCGGAGTTTGACAACCTGGACGAGTTCCTTGCGTTTCTCGGGGAAGGCGATCGCAATGATATCGTCACAGGAGAGGGTAACTATRCTGTGAATTTCGGCAATGATACCGATGTTGATGACAGCGAGCTCGCCAACGAGATTCCGTTGGAATTGGACGGGGATGTTGGTGAGGACGAAGAATCACCAGCTGCTCCCGGGAATGCCACAACAGCTGCCATCGACAACGGCAATGGAGACGACGAAGGCACGGCGACAGTAGACAAAGATTCGTCCACGGAAACCACGCTGGTGTCTTCSTTTGTYGAGACGGCTCTCTCCAAGAAGCTTCTGAGCAACAACCATTGGGATCCGGCGACACCCGGGGGCGAGGCGCGATTTCTGCGGAGCAGGAAGTAGCAGCGCGACTCGTTCTGCAATGTGATGAATTGGATCGGACACGTCGCAGCYACAATCCCGCGTGATGTAGAGAATCGAACAAGTTTCCATTTCCACAAGAATAGCTCACTAGTAGTAGATGAAACAAGATTTGTGCATGGCTAGGAATACTAACACTTGAAAAGTAGTAGGCACTGTTACTACCAGCGAAGAATGATAAGCTATTGGTATATTGTTGTTCTTCATACTATTTGTATTAGAAGTAGTAATTGAACTATTCCTAGTGTCTAACGATCTCCTAACTCTCCTCATTTCAAAAATGGGGATGACTAGATAGCAGCGACTAGCCTGGGCCCTGACTCTTCGTACTACCGGTAGTTACGATACCAAGCAACCTCTCGCAGACCAAAAGCATTTTCTGTTTTTTTTGGCTCGGTGTCATTTTTTTAGGTAGGATGGGAAAGTAATTTTTGTCTTGTTGTTCTTCATCTTTCAGTGAATACAAAACGACAATACCGATCGACCAAAGGAAAAATTGAGATTGTTTAATAATTTCTTCTGGACTCCTGTTGTTTTCTAACGAAATTCGAAAAAAGTATCAAGATGGTTTTCGAATTGGCATGCACGCTGCGCTACGAACCAGAACAGAAGATGATACTTCTTACAGTAATATACTTATGCTCGTACTAGTACGGGTTCTACCTGTGTTTTGCGTACGAAATTAGGTGCTCCGTACGGTAGCCTACGGTAGTGCGATGACATCGCTGATGACACCCCCGTCAATACGAAAACAGATAACCGGTACAACTTGCTTCGTCGACGACGGCTCGAGTCCTGTTTGTTTCTCTCCCTCGCTCCACCTTACTAGTACGGYAGCTACTAGCAATACGAATAACGAGTGAAACATAGCCTGGAAGATTTTTGAATCTGGAACCTGTCTGTCGTTTCAGCTTGAAGTATTTCCATCATCTTGGGTGGTACCATTTCCTTTTTTCTTTCTAGTACAGTAGTAAAAAAAAGAACCGGAGGAGTCGAGTCACCCACCCGCTGGCAATCCCCAAATTGTATCGTATCTGAACTGGGGATCAATCGACAAACGCAACACAGCGCAACTTGAGSCAAAGCATCGCAACGCAACGAAGGCCCGGAGCATCTCCAGAACACCGAAGCAACATCCAACACGCTGCCATGAGGGACTTCATATCGAGAGTGTTAGAAGAGGTGGCCAAGGCAACGGCAACCCCAACGGAATCGGACACGGCGGAAACGGGAGCCGGTGACGAAGGCTCCGATTCCGCCGCCATCGCCGAGGACGTTACCGGCTTGGAACGGTGGATGGATCTCGGCTTTGGCATCGCCTTCCTCGTCACCGCCATCTTTGCGGCGAAGCGAATGTCGTGGACGCGCCAGCAAGGGGGAGCGGAGACGACCGTAGTCACCGCCTTTTATTCCCTGATCCTGGTGACGTCGATCTTCCGATCCACCTGGTTCCTGATCCCCGCCACGGTGTGGACCCCCAGCTATACGCCCGTAGCGATCTTTGCYTGGGACACSGAGCACCCGGCCTGGGTGGGAGCCTTTTTGTCGGAGTTTGTCCTGACGGCGGGGTCCTTGTCGCTCTTTAGCATCTTCATCCTCATTCTGGTCTACTGGGCCGACATTCTCAAGAAGTACTTCCACCCCGCGTCCCGCCGTACCATTCCRATGGTCACCTTTCTCGGGCTGGTGTCGCTTCTGATCGTGCTCGAGRTCATCAACATCGCCGCCTTTGGCTTCGGGCTCTACACGACCGAGGGGATGATTCTGTTCAACTCGATCCTTCTCGCCACCGTTTCGATCGTCTGCGTCGTCGAGATTTCTATTTTTTCGCACCGCTTCCGGACCGTCCTCAAGACGCTCGGTGCCATCAACCAGGTCTCCACGGACAGCCAGGTCAAACGGATCGTATGGATCACGGCAACGGGGAACCTCTTCTTCTTCACGCGCGCCTTCCTGGAGAGCGTMTTTTGCGGCTACCTGTACGTGTACTGGAAGAAGGACCACACGGTGGCCCGCTCCTTTTCCCACCCCTGGTGGGACACCTTTGTCGGAATCAAGTTCGTCTCGGAGGTCATCATCCTGTCGCTCATGCTCTACATCCTGCAGTCGAGGTTTTCTTCGAGCGCGACCGGKGACGGTGGTSCTTCCGGCGAAACCAGCGGCAACGGCCGTCCAACGGGGTACGTGAGCGTTCCGAACACGGACGAGGCCGCTCCGGCCCCGGCGGCGATAARCGTGTAGTGCAGAGCAAACAAGCGCACTGCTCGAACGTCTCTCGGTGATTGGCGCCTGCGGGACGGACCGGAGGCTCTGTTCCGTTCCGYGCAGTGCGGTTGCAACACTAGCAGACGATGGGCAAACTCGAAAACGGGACGTGTTGTTCGAATTTATTTGTATGGTTTGGTTCACGCAATCAATGACGAACGAACCCACTGTGGAGTAGTATTTTGTTACGAGTATGAAATGTTTGRCACAAAACAACCGACTACGAYTTTTAAATATTAAAATAAAAAAGGAACAAACGAAAAGAAACCACTGCACGGTAGAGTACAGTACAGCAGATAGACAAACRAATCCATTTCTCCAGATAGTACCGGCCCCGCRACCCACTCCGAAAGCGTAGTTCTTTCGCAGGAGYGGGGATTCTATTACAGTATGATGTTTTCTTGTAGTCAMCCATGGTCTTTCTGAGGTTTCCGATGTGACGACTTCTGTAGCCTAGTACCGATTGTGGTTTAGGTTCATTTTGTGACTATCGCTTGGAGTAGGAATACTGTTSATGAAATGGATGAGGTGYGCAGATAWAATTAGAAGTACTCTATTAGTAGCAGCTTTTTATGAATCTAGGTTGTCCTCGTTTCTAAACGWTTTGTGCATCTACCCGGTTGGTCATATCGATACGAGGATAAGCGACGGTTTGTATCGAGTCGAGAATCCTTCGTTCCGGTGGAAATCCAAGCACTCGGTGCGCTACAATACGTTTTCCTATCGATTGGTTCACTTCGGAAAAACTCGCGATTTTCGAGTTTGGTKTGGACCCGAAACAAGGGCATCATCTCTCGCGCACCATTCCTTTTCATATTACGATGTGTATTCGTAGATGGCGTCAGAGACCCCTTCAAACATCCGAAAAGCCCCAAAGAATCCCCGACSGTCCCGAGATCGGRTATCTTCTGTATCCACCTCTTCTTCCCTTGGTTTTGGACACGGCTTCTCCAGATCCTGTCGGCAGTACGGGCACGTGGAACTCTTCGGAATCCACATCCTGAGACACCTTGAATGAAACTTGTGTCCGCACGGCGTAGCTATCGAAATCTCCTGGCCGATCTCGAAGCCTTGGAGGCATATCGAACACAAAGACTTGTTGCACACTGAAGCTAGGGCCGCGTCCTCTTTGTTCGACTCCCGCAGAATCCTTTTATCAATGGCGAGATCGCTGGGTTCAGGTGGGTGGCATTTGATTTCCACAGAAAACGAATGGTAAATGTGTTCGATTTCTATCAGCGTGGACATCGGCAGCACCAGCGTTTGAAGAAGTCCGTAGAAACTCAAACAACTTAGCCCCAGAACCAGTTCAATTCCAGGAATATCATAAATTACCATTACTACCAAACAAAACAAGACGAGCCCCCCAAATGTCCCCAGTATGAATAGAGCACCATAGAGGTGGTGACACAAGTTCAAGGGTACCGAGCCCTGCGAAAAMTGCATTTCAACTMGTTCGATTTTTGAAAACTTTCTTCGATGGTGTCAATTGCTCTCTAAYAGTAGCGCCCAAGTGGTAGATTTTTTCACTGGGAAGGACTTCACAATGCGATGGGTACTTGGTGAACGACTATCAGCAGCCTGCAATACTATGGTGCATAGTAGTAATGCGTTCGTCTACTGGTGTCTGCTTTGATAGGGCGAAAGAGAGGTAATCGMGTTCCTGCCWAATGTTGTACSGGTAGGTAAATCATCGACGAATCAATCGCCCTCGGAATCCAAGCGCCTGATTGTACTCGCATCGGTATTCTTTTTTTCAGAYCGTCGTCGTCAAAAGCATGGAAAGCATGTGTCGAATGATGTTGATCGAATACAGTTCCGCAGCGCCGGCACAATTGCCCTGACGTCTAGTAGAGTGTTGTGCGTCACATTAAAGACTTAAAAAAGATACTCTACTCTACTATTGTACTTTAAGTACCGGTATTCGTAAATACTGTACGCTATTCAGAGGGGTACCGTAGTCTCCGTAGAAAGTAATACTATCCATAATGTACTTGTATTCGTTACTCCAACAAATATGGTCTGTCTGTCTATCCGTCGACAGGTATACTTCACTGGGTTTGATGAGATGTGGTGAGAACCAACAATAAAAAGCGGTGCTCTCCCAATCGCAACATAACGTACGAGTCGGAGTACGAGTAGGAGTACGAAACAACCGATACGCCAAATGGGAAAAATGTGGGTTGTTGGTTCTCATGTGAATGACCTAAATTCGTGAGTAACGATACGTAGCGGTAGCCCCCCCCCTTCGCCTTGAACCTCAAAGAAGAAAATAGTACGGTACCGATTCAAAAACTTCCGATAGTTGCAGGGCCTTGTGCAATTGAGAGAGCATCGCATATTATAACAAACAGTGTAATTGAAAGAATTAAGGATCATCATGACGACGACGGCGATTGGAGATTTTGTAGATGCGGAGGACAATACCCCACTCGTGCACGAGGTGGAAGAAAAACAGATTTTGAAAGGGGATATCATCAAAATTCTGGATGGACCATCGACGAAGGGGCGGAACGTATCTGGTCGTGCATGGAAGGTCCGTGCGCAGAAACGAGCTTCGAGTTTAGTAAAGACCAAGGTAAACAATGGAAGCAAAASCTGGGAACAACGCCGGCAAGAAAAACTTGCGCGTAAGGAAGCACTCGAATTGCAGTCAGAATTAAGAGAGGAGCGCAGGCAGGCAAAAATACAGAAAAAAGAGAGGAGATTAGAGAACGAAAGGAGGAGAGCAGAGAACGAATTCAACAACGCTCAAAAGTCCGCAAAGACACTCAATACTGGAAAGCTGAAATCGACGCTCAAGGCGATGTCGAAGAAACAGTTACGAAAGATCAAAAAGACGAGAATGAATTCGAAGACTGGCGTTTTGGAATATGTATCTGCATATGCGAAGTAACTTGTTGGAAACAATGGTATAATTGTTCGGCATTACATGCAGGCTATCTGACCTTTTTTTCGATGCGGCTTTCTCAGTCTAGGTATGGATTGCTGAAACGGTGGAATGATGAAAATGAACAAAGAAAAATATGAGAATGTCGGAAAGTCCCATGATGTACCAAAGAAATCGCAAGCTGCAGTTTCGAATTATGCCTTATTCGGCAAGATCTCTATCTCATTGCTTGTACTACTAATTTCAAATTAAGGAAATGATTTCTTTCTTGGTTTCAAAATACTCCTATATGTAAAGTGAACTTGGGTGAATTTCCATCGACGTAAGGCAAGAACACTTCAAGATTAGTCATAAAATTGTGTTCAACARAGAAGAGAAGGGGAAATGCATTTTTTGAATACTTCACCTAGCGYTTTCTTCTGGAATTGGAAGTTGAAGAGGAATTAAATGCTGAGTGGAGTCCATTGTTTTCAAGAGGCATATTGGCACCATTGAACAATTACAGATGGATACTTTATGTATGTTTCTACAGTGTGGAAGGCAGATCTAAGTTTTTAGGTAAATTGAAGGCATCTGTTCATCCTTTCATGGCAATCTAAATTTTTGATGTAACTCAGCACATTCATATTAAATAATAACACATTATGGCAATGCACATGAGCATTGCAGTTCCTCTGGTTGTTGCACCATGGGGGCACCAGAGAATCGGAAATCGGTCAGGAAACTACCGGTACGGTACATTTCGGGAGCCTTTCTTTTCTTAGCCACGTCTGGATGATGATAATAAAAGAAGAACAAAGTTAGTAGAAGTACGTAGTACTCGAGGTACTAATTTAGTTTGAAATTAAATACCTCAATCGTTTTACTGAGATGAAGTGCTTTTCTCTACGGTATCGGTACGTACAGCCACAGATTTTGAGAATTTGGCGATCAAATCGCATTCGTGCGGTGAAAACTCAGTTTTTCGTGAGTTAGATCTCAGTGTCGGCTCTTCTTGAACCTGTGTAGATACCAGTACAAATCCTACTTGACAAAAAGTTCTCGAAACTCTTGTTGCCCTTCGCAATACTTTTTTGCCAAGTACCGCAGGATTTGTCCTGGAGTCTAGGTGAGTTGACTAAAAGAAAATTTAATATTATCGGGCAGGAGAGGCGAAGACGGGGAAAACCAAACGTGACACTGTGTCGTCGTGAATGCCATAAATTGTCAAAAAAATTCTCTGATTATCTATTTGCATGCATAGAGTGCTTAATACCACAACATTTCTAGATTTGTTGTCCGGAGTTTCGAACGTCTTTGTCTGGTCTTCTAAATCTCGTCCATGATTTCTAGGCGGGAAACTATTTCGGTGTTCGCACGAGGTGCGATTGTTGACGGAGATGATATCCACAAGACGGAAGACGACGAGGAGGATTTTTCTACTATCGGCAATACAAGTCGAAGTTCTCGTAATATGTTGGCAATATCGGAGGAAATGGAATCTACAGCTGAGTATCCAGAAACTAGTGACAAAGATATACAATCATCCCAAAAAGCAAGAGTCAGAAATTTTCTTCACAGGCTTGGACAGAAAAGTAAACTGCTTCCCAAGAAGTTATACCAACAATCAAATATTATATTYCGGCCAACGATKAAYGCTGTTGCCGAATAT